GTTAACTTCATTAGAATGACTGAAAGAATAGGTCACACATTTAGGCACTGGTCAATTCCTTCTGCTCTGATTTGGACATAGACTGTTTACAAAGATGGAGCGACATGGCAGCTTCCAAATGTGAAGCCAAATCCTCTTGATTGCCCCCCTGGTGGCTGCCTGCAGTGTAAGTCATAAACCCTGCCTCCTCTATGTTAGTTGATGGGACATGTTAAATAAACTTTTCTCAAAAATGGTTTCTGTCATTTTAGGTATCGTTCTTATCACACTGATGTTTGTTCAAGTCTGAATTTCCCCAGTGAGTTTGGTTTTAATTAGTTATTTGATGCAGACAAACGTTGAAAGAGCAAGAGCATATCTGGGATAGTTTAGCTTCATCTTGGTAGAACAGGAGGAGGTTGAGATGCATTATCCATCTTTATATAAAATCTACGGTTTGGACCAAGGTAAACAAACCACACCTAGAGTGTGCTGCATTGCATGTAGTTTACGGAAACACATGACTGTAGACTGACCAGTTTCTTCCACTCTTTAGACAGAACCGAGGGCTCCCAGAGCTCCTGGCAGATCCGGAGCCTCTCCAGCTGCAGAGCTATGGAGGTGGGGTTGGTTTCCACAGCGCGCTCTGCGATGCACAGCTTTTTATCCAGGACTGCTCGGTAGGAGGACTTGCGGCGCTCAGTCGAATGGCTGCCCTGTTGTTCCTCCTCGCCTCCAAACTCTGCTGAACTCAGCTCATCCTAGAGAGCCAGAGAGAAGATGAGGAAGATTAGAGGTGATGATGCACAGGAATAATCAGAAAGATGACTGTGTTGTTGAAAAGCAACAATAATAATAACTTCATTCATAGAGCACTTTTTAACACAAAGTTCAATGCTGTGTTTAAATACGGAAGGAAGGGCATGAATAATAATGGTAATAATGATAATAGACATACACAGCCAATAATATTCTGGTACCCAAGTAAATTTAGGAATATGCCTTCCAAAAAAAGTATGTATACAACTGTTGCACACATCACATGTCACAGATAGAGATGCCCTGACACATTCCCTGTTGTGGTCTTTACCTGGGAATTGTCGACAATTAGACAAATATATAGCCTAATTGTTTAATACTGTCATGGGCAAATTCTGAAAGTTAGAAATAAAATTTGTCTTAACACACTGAACCCTGAGGGAGCTGGCACTACCTCAAACACTGAGTACAGTACTTCCACACACCACTGCTACATCTGGGGAAACCACACAAAAGTATTGAAACATTTACATTCATACAAAAATAAACATACTGTACTGTACACCCTCTCCGTTGATAGCTGATTATAATACAGGTGAGAAGTAGAGCCATCATACCTGGTAACGTATGAATTTTATCCACAGCTGTGTGTCTGACGGCTGTTCTCTGAGCTGCCTGTTGAACTCCTCAGTCCTCCTGGCCATTAGCATAGAGCTCTCCCCTGTGTGTCCGTCCGGTTTCTGCTGCTCTGTCTGCTCCTGCTGTCCCTTCCCCTGCAGCCAGAGGGCCGTGGAGGAGTCGTACACACCGAGAGGATTTACTGATGATGTCTGCACTCTGTCAACTGCATTGAAAAATGATGGGGTCAAGGTTTAATGTATGGGTTAAAATGACATGGGCAGTGTATGTAAATATGTTTCTTTCTCAAAATACGTTGTGACTAAATCTGTTACCTGTCTGTCCTCCATTGTTCTCTCCCTCATGATCACCCAGAGGGAGGAAAGTGGTGGCACTGATGACATCACGACAATCAGGACTCTTTGGTAAAGTAGGAAGAGCACATTGGGACCTCAGCAGCTGGCAACTGACTGCAGAGAAGTATCTGTCTGCTGCTTTCTTCTTGTCTCTGCCTTTCTGTTTCTTATTCGATTCCGACTCCTCCCAGCTGACTCCCTGTCGGCGAAGGTCCAGACCCAAGGATGAGCTGCCTTTCCTCTTATACCTGGAACACACACGGTTTCAAAACTGCAATTCCAGTTCATGCAAGATTTAAATGTTTCTCTTCCTAAGGCTGAAGATCAAGCGAGCCCTTCCTATTCTGAATAGTGAGTGGTTTTAAATATACTGTGAATAGGCAAATACTGTAATTTGCATGAGCAGGGATAGTCACTAAGGCTGAGTCCACACTACTATGTTTTCATTTAATAATGCATGAACTCTGCTTTAGAGCCGCTGAAAAGGAGACGTTTGGAAGCACTTCTGGCTTTGTTTAAAGGTTCAGTGTGTAAGATTTATGTGAAAGAGATTTTTGACAGAAATTGAATATAAAATAATCCTATTGATGTTTTCCACTGGTGTGTTTCATCTAAATTGTATGAATTGTTGTTTTCTTTATCATAGAATGGACTCTATATGAAAAAACTTTATATTTACATAGAGGGGGGTCTTCTGTGTGGAGGCCGCAATCTTTTTTACTGTCGCCCAAACTGGACAAACCTTTTGAGTTTTCATGACAACTGAAGTTCACCACAGGTTTTCTTTCATGTTGGGAAGTGGAGGGTGAGATGAGAAGAATTCAGCTGCAATATGCAACTTAAAATGATCCTACTGCTTATATAGAAGACCAGCCATTATTTGAGCAATCTTTTTACTACAGCACATGCATGTCTTCCCATTTCCACCAACATGTGCTACCCAGTGTACGTACGTAAGCGATGTGTTCTTAGGCATGTTTGTATAGACGGGGATTAAAACTGATATGGAGCAAATACACTTTTGTGGTCAGATATTGACTTGGTTTTAAAATGAAAACGTAGCAGCATGGATGTAGCCTAAGAGAGAAAAATGTCACAACAGTATGCATAGGGTGCAAAGTGTATGTACCTCGCTACATCTCCTCTGTACAGGGACTTATACGTCCAGTTGGCTGGGTCTGGTTTACGGTCCACACAGAAGTTATGCTCTGTGGGCGACTGGAGGTCATCTAACCAGGAGAAATGATTTGCTATTGCAGCAGCCTTTGATCTGTAACAGTGGATACACACACACACCATCAAAAAATGACAAAACAAAAGTCAGCCAGTGCCACTGTGTATAAAACTAAGAGTGTAATGTAAATGTGTGTTTGTCTATACCTATCTGCCTCTTGCTCCCTTTTGAGATCACTGGGGTAGGTGGTTTCAGAGTCTGACCCACTGCTGCCTGAATACCTCCCACTCTTCTTTTTGTGTTTTTTCTTCTTCTTCTTTTTCTTTTCACTCTTCTTCCTCTTCTTTTTGGATGGCACATTATCCTCTTCTTCTTTTATCTCCTCGTCCACAGAACTCACATCTCTGCTTAGACTGAAAGGTGGATTCATGAGGTTAGAACACATTAAAATTTCAAGCAGAAGCAAACGATTTGCACATTTTCAATATAGTATCTTGAGTACTCGTTACAAGAAAACAAATTGAATAATTAACTTTATTTAACAAGTTTCTTAAGGTACAGAGGGAAGTACACAAAATCAAGAAAAGGCAAACAGAGACATGCATGATGATATTGGAATTTGAAAGATGCAATTTTTTTTTACCTTTTCTCCTTCTCCTTTAAAAACCGACCGTGAAGAGAGAAGGCATCTCCGGTCTGAAAACTTTTATTGCTCAGCCAGTCTAATTCTAAAGGGAGAGAGTGACCAAGAAAAGAGAATCAGGACGATTGTTGGATCATGATGATGATTATCAACCCCTGATTAATGTTAATATGTGCAGTGTAGCATCATGGTTGTGACAGGGGGTTTTAATTGTGTGTGGAAACAAACAGCTCTATGGGATACATTTCTATTCTCTTACAACTGAGAAGTCAAATTGACTTCAGTTGTACCTGCAGTGTAAATGGGCCTGAAACCAAACCCAGTTAATACGCCTTCATGTCTTCTTGGAGCAGACAAGCAAGACTTCTCAATGTTACATGTAAAGGTCACGACTGAAACATAATAAAACCCAGATTATTGAGACACAAGTGTTTTGTGTGTGATAGACAAATAGTCTGACGGTGTTCCAATGAAAAAACACAATGTAGGAGGAATGTTATGTAAAAGTTATAGTTATAAACACCAAAGTCTATTTTTTGATTAAGGTATTTTTTATTTTTCAAATATGTACCAAAAGAAAAGAGGGTAGGAGAGTCAAGTTCCTGTCCATCCCCTCAGAATGCCCCCCTCTCCAAAATACTGGTCGGTGATTAATTTTTTATACATCCATGAAACGAAACTTATATTAATACATTGAAGTGAAAGAGCAGATATAAATATTAATAACAATGATAAATAGCTGAAGGGAAGAAAAAAGGGCGGGTCATTTCAGTAGCTGCCATGCATTCTACAAAGATAATAAATGGTTGCAGAGAGACATAAAGTTTTCTGGTGGACCCCCTAATGGTGACCTAATGGTGATGGTCTAAGTAACCTCTCTGATCCAGTACATGTTGGAGGAAAGCATCCTTCCATTAGAACAAAATAAGCCTTCTGGTCAGCAAAATACCATTATATTCAAATGGTACCCAGTAAAAAAGCATCCAAACAATGCAATGAAAGGAGATGGGTCTACTGTTCTTCCACATATTCTACAGATTGTCTCAAAGACAGATGCAACCTGGGACATAACCAACACATGTAGCAGTGTGCAGGAGCCTGCTGGTATCGATCTCATGCCCGACCACAACCTGACTTTATCTTAGATCATCTCTCTTCCAGTGAGGACGCTGCTCTACTTCAAACTGAACCTCAGTGAGTCACTTGGAGAATGACTGAATTCTCTGTGTGATTATTTCATCTAGGTCGGTTTCCCATGTTAGTTCATCAGTTGTCATTCAGCTCCGATCACACGACGCTAATACGAGCTAGCTTGTGGCTAATCAGTTCGATCCCCTCTCTATAATGACAACACGGTATCAATGCGACAAACAACTGACATTTCAACGCGGGCTACACGACGGTGTGTTCACCTCTGGACGAATCTTCAACTTTATCACTCGAGGTTTCTGCAAACGCTGGAAACAGAGCCATGGCGGAACGTAAACAGTCGCAGGGATATGACGTCACCGGCAGCAGCCGGTTCACTGAAAATAAAATGTGTCAAATTATATTTATATTATATAATTTATATATATATATTATATAAAAATATATAGATTATATTTGTAACCTATAAATTCTGTATCAGCAAACTCAAACTTAAAATTATTCACTTAAAGTCAAGATGCATTTTATATTATCAATCCCAAATGTAAAATTTATTTAAAATGTTATGAGCTCATTTCTATAATCCTCAAAGATAACATTGTGAAATCTAATGCATTTTTGAAAAACACATATATTCTTTTTTTTGTTGCTCATATCTGGTTTGTACAGACTAATTTGCCAAAATTATTATTGGGCGTAAATTGAATGAATTATTTGATGGGTGGCTTCAGACACTTATCATAATGGCATCATTTTAAATGTTAAGTACTTAGAAGTCCCTTCATTAAATTGTAAAAGTAACATGACTGTTATCTTAATCCGCTAAGAAGAAAATATGTTTTACAAGAATATACAAATTTAGATGACAATAAGAGATTGACAATTTAGGGCTTCAGTAGAGAATCTTATTTCAAAATCTTGGATGACATTATTCTATCTCATAAAAAGTTGCATAACAGCATTCAGTTGTAATTATACGTGTGGATTGTGTGTAACCTTAGAACAACATTCCTTCCAGTATGAATGGATCTCTGGCCAAGTTTTCATTGTTGGCTTCCATCCAAAGGTGTAACGTTGCACCCAGGGACTGACAGGTGAAGCTGGAGTAACACGTAGAATTTACTAAATAATCTGACTGTATTTTGTAGCAGTTTTATGTGACAATAAAAGTAAACAATGAATTAATTGAATACTAATAAATCCATTGAATCGTAGGAGGAAACAAACTTGTGCATCAGGTGAGATAATTTCATAACGCTCTCCACCAAACATTTGTGTAATGGAAGCTACAACAATTATTTCTTCGCCCTTGCAAAATCTAGAGTGAAAGATTATTTGAATAGCCTCCTTATCATCGAATAATCGTGAATTCACACTGAGCTGTCCTTACAACATATTTTTATAAATGTCTAATATGAGAAGAATATTTTGTGTCATCACATTGTCATGTTCAAGGCGCCTAATATATAATAGATCGGGCAACTGAGCTCAAACCGCTGCCACCCACTATACAGCAAGGCAGGAGGGGGAAAAGAATGTGTAGCTGATAATATAAAAAATATTAACAGCAAAACCTAATTGAAGGACTGATGCATCGTTGGTAAAATGGGCCCCTGTCATTAAAACTACTCCAGTTAAAACTACTATTGTAGTCAATACTTTAATACACAGTATGTTTTCAATTCTGTCCCCAGAGTTATTCTGACTTAAATCAGACCACACCCAACATCAACATTTGGAACAGAGTGATTCTCGTTATTGTTCATTCTCAGTCTCTTCTTTTTCTTCTGTCATGACTTATGTCCTCCGGGATTTATGAAGATAAGTTAGATTTTTTAGTTGCTGGGTTTCAATCGTAACTTAAACTGTGCACACGCGCGTGCACGAGAGAAAGTGGACKGTTMGGAGCGTTTCTGCCTCGAACGATGTGRTTGCGATCTACTTTGTGTTACCAAGACAACTGAGCTCTCCCAGGGCGCCATCCAATCAGAACTCCACACTAAGTTTCATCGACCAATCACGTTCCCGGATTGTTTTGATCGACAGTACCTTGCTCCAATCGCGTTGATCGCCCGCTGTCAGTTGTCAGCGCTCCTGCTTGCCGCGGTCAGTCCGTCACTTGGAGTCAGTACAACCGAGAAGAACCAGTCCGTCAGTCCGCAAGTTTTTAACTTCGACCACAATGAGGGAGATCGTGCACCTGCAGGCCGGCCAGTGTGGAAACCAGATCGGAGCCAAGGTTTGAAAACGAAAAAAGATTTTAAAGTGTAAAAGAGCGCGAATGTAAAAATCTGGACTGGCTGCTGAACTAGGTTACCTGGCGATCAAGCTAATGA